GTGCCTACCTAAATAGGCAGGAGGATGTCATATAAATTTACTGAAGGGGGCTATTCTAAAAGGATCAAGCCAGAACAAGTCCCACTACCACAACAAATGATGCATTGTTTCCTGACCCCTCCCCAATCTTACATGGGAAGGAGACCCTCAACATTCCTATTCAGGACAGGTAGCCTGGATGGATAAGTTTTACCTGCAGGAGACAGTTCTAGATTTACAGCATTTGAATGCCGAGCCATGTAGGTTTTATAAGTTAAAACTGCACTTTTAAATGATACTCAGAAGCCTATCCTACTAGCCAGTGCAGAGCTATCAATCATGGAACGTAACACTAATATAATAAGATAATGGTAGCTCTCATCCACCAATATGCGGGCTGCTATGTTTTGTACCAACTGCAGTTGTTGGGTAGTCTGCAGAAGGCACAGTAAATAAAAAGCAATTTGCAGTACTGTATTGTGTTCTAGAGGTGATAAGGAGAGGATTCACTGCCATTAGGGCTTCTCCTTCCAGGAAGGGCCATAGCTAGCACATCAATCAAAGCTGGGCAAGACTCCACTAGCCATGCCCTCCACTCACCTCATAGTTTCTATGAGTCTGGGAGAAAACCAATGTGCAGACCTGCTCTTTCAAGGGAGCACAACTCTTAGCACAGCATAAAGTGAGCCAGATGATTTCTGGAAAAAAATGGCAAGCCTTCCTTAACAGGGTTCAACTTCACCCAATTTTTTTCCATCCATCTCCTCACAGCTTCCAAGAACCAGGTCAAGACTCCAAATGTATATTCAGCTTAGACCAGGTTAGATCTGAATATGACCTGTGTAACAAGATACCTCAGCCCCTAATGACAGATGACCTCTCCCCATAGCTTCAGATATATGTTAAAGAAGAGAGGAGAGAGAATTGAGCTCCATTATGCAGCACAAATAAGCAATAGATTCATTTCTCTTCTGCTACGATAAACTAGTGTCCCCCCACAAGCAATGTAGAATGATATCATGATTGATGGTATTAAAAAGGTCTAAAAGAAGCTGGAAGGATTGCATCTATAAGGTTAATGCAATAAAACAGGGCTGTCAAAATTGTGGGCTGCTGGCCGGATGCATCACGCGTTGGCCACGCCCATGCCTGGTTTAGGGAAGGGGAAAAAAGTCACGATATGTCACGTGATGACACCATGACGATGCAAATTTGACACCCCTGCACTAAAAGATCTGAACTGAGCCTCTCCGTTGCTTGTTCATGTTCCTACTACAAAAAAGGCCTAGCCATAAAGGATAAATTATCCAGCAAAAATTTCCTGAGAGAAAGAAAAAATTTGGTTGTGCTGTTGATCTTGAGTTAATTACTCTTCTAAAACTGGTCCATGTTGCATGGCTGATGTGAGAAGACTGAAGGGCTAATTCCAGGTTTGCTGACCTGGGACAAAGAATGGGATACACCTGCATTTGATATCCATTATATATACTGTATATTGCATGCATTACCTAGGATAAAATATAAAATTATACATTATATTATATAGATGCTATACCGTATTTTTACAAAGAGGTTTTTTTTAAAAGACAGAAGTATGTTTAAGGGCTTGCTTCAAGAATTTTATGTTCCATATTTATAAGTACAAGGTGTTCCCAACTGATTAGAGTATGTAAATGAGCAGTGGAAAAGAGCCACATTTCCTATGATATTGAGGCTCTTTACTAGAAGCTATCGAAATAAAACAATTCTCACTGATGGACTGCTGACATTATAACGAAATGATTAATTCCAAATAGTTCAACCTACCTCATAAATAAAACAAGCAGCTGTGTGATTGATTGACTGATTATGTGCCATCAAGTCAATGTTGACTCTTAGTTAGTAACATAGATAAATTTTCTCCATGATGTTCTGTCTCCAACCTGGTGCTTCAGGTCTTCCAAATTGCTATGCAGCTTCTCTCAATCAAGAAAGGTTAACAAACTCCCTGAAAAACTGGGCTTCAACTTATTTGTATTTCAAGTAAGCTTGTGGGCCTAATTCAAAGTGGTTATTATCTTTAAAGTTCTTTAAATTGCAGTATTGAGATACATTAGGCAATAATTTGACAGAATGAAATCTGCCCATCTGGACCAGCTGTTTAGGGAAGGTCTGTTGAAAATCCTACCCCTCATTAGAACCAAGGGAAGAAGGTAGACCAAATACCAGGTCTTCTCCAAGATAGCCTTTGGAATATTCTCCCCACAAAGATATGGGGAGCTCCTACCATTCTTGCATTTAATAAAAACTACATTCAGCCCTAGGTGATTTGATTGAAAATACCTATTTTAAATATTTTGATCATCAACATGACTTTTTTTTGCTTTGCTTTTGTAATTACTATAATCTCTGATTTTAATGGTGCTGTGTGCCATCAAGAGTCCTTCATGAGTAAGATGGGGTACAAATATTGTTTCATTGACAAATAAATACAGTACTGATTTATATACATAAGAAAAATAAATCAAATATGCAAGTCTAGGATGGGGATAACTGGCATGATAATACCACTTGTGAAAGATAATAGAAGAAACACAAACTTCATGAGTTACCAGTGTATTTTGGCTGCAGAAACATAATGCTGTTTCAGAAAGCAAAGATAAGATTATAGTTTCCAAATCATGGGAAGTAATTTTCCACTATATTCTACATATGTCAAACCCAGCCTCGAGTATTGTGTCCAGCCTTGGGCACCACATTTTAAAGAACATATAGAAAACTGGAACTGATGCAGATAAGGGCAATGACGATGATGAGAGAACTGCAACTGTAATAATAAATAGATAATCACCTTTGTCGTGAACTTGTATGTTTCTGCTTCACTTTTCTCCCCATTTTTTAGCATGGAGTGATTAATGACTAAGGAAAGATATGAGAACCAGTGTGAGACAAGGGTTAAGGGGTTGGACCAGATCTGAAGAAACCCAAGCTCATGTCCATCCTCAGCCAAGGAAACTTGTTAGATGATTTTGTGGGGATCAAATTGGAGTAGGGAGTGCTGTCATCTTGGGATCTTGGTGAAAAGTCAGAATTTAAATCCAACAGTAATAAAAATAAAAATAAAAACATGACAGCCCTTTTTAAATCCCTGAAAGAGTGTTACATAGAAGGTCGAGATGAAAGCTTGTACCACAAGGTAGAACACGGGTGTTCTCAATATAAAGCGTATAACTGCTAACTGTAAATTTTAATGTCTCGAGAATAAAAGCTATTTGACAGTGGAACCAATAATGTACGAGGAACAGATGAGAAAAAGGGTGACAAGAGGAGCAGTTTCAGATGCTTTAAGTTTTAGACTTCAGGAAAAATTTGGGGACAAACATGTTACATTTATAACAAAAAATATGGTAATTTTTTGATCAAGCTTCGTAAGTCTTTCAGCATAGTGCTGCATTCTTTCTTTCTTTCTTTTGATAGGTAGCCAAGGAATGTGGTAATAGAGGCTATGATTCAAGAAGGTCAAATGGAGGCTGGTGCATCCATTGGCTTGAGCTGGTAAGTATATTTGGAATTATGGGTCACAAGCATTTTCCCAATAAGGCTGCCATGAAAGGATTTTACTCTTACAACTCTTTTATGAGCAGGCATGCAAGCGTTTTGCCTGCATTGTTTCCTCCCACCCTCTCTCCAAGCCATGATCCATTAGTCTTGGCAGATAGGTGCATTTCCAAGCAAGGCACTGAACTGCAGTCACTTACCATATTTATTTTTTTAGAATATTAGGTGAGCCCCGGAGGCATCTTTTAAAGAGCATCGGAGAAATCTGTGCTGCATCCTTTAATATAAAGAGGATGCTAGAAGTTTGCAGTAGTAAAATAATATTTTCTTTAAAAAGTCAGATGGGGAAGGAAGGCTAACTGAAGGCTGAAAGTATTTGGGTGTCGATGGGTAGTATAGCACGTTGCTTATTTATCAAATGTTATCTTTTGTTTCTTCTCCATTAGAGGCCACTAGAGATTGGACAGCCATTTGCCCAGAATGTTAGGGTCTCCTATTTGACCAAGGGGTCAGATTAGAAGACTTCTAAGTTCCCTTCCAACTCTGTTATTCTGTAAGACAAAAACCCATTTAGATCAGGGGTCTCCAACCTTGGCCACTTTAAGACTTGTGGACTTCAACTCACAGAATTCCTCAGGAAAGTGGTCAAGGTTGGAAACCCCTGATTTAGATGATGTCTCCCTACCGAAAAAGTCTTCTAAGGCTGTGCAAAACTTTAAATTTAAAAGGAACACAAGGGGGCGCAAATATAACACCTGTCTGCAACTCCTGAAGCAGCTGCTTCTCTTCTGGGGATCACGCCTTGCATAGATGCTGAGCTACTCCATCAAAAGATGTGTTGGTAGATAGTTGTTGTATGTGCCTGCACCCACTCTTAAGCATCTTTTTGTCTTTAAATCTGTAATTCTGCATAGATCTAGTGCCTTCTAACTGTCCTCTAGCACCAGAGTGACATGCATTTTTCTTGCTTTTTGTAATAAATAGTAGTAAAAGATCCGCAGACTCAGAATTGTTGAGAAATTTCCTTCTCCCACAATGAACAACCTGCAACACAGGTGGTTAACTGGGGAGAAATATACGTCTGGCATGCTTACACTTTATGTTTACCTCTCTCATTTGTCTCCTCTTGCATGAAGAAGCCAGAGAGAGGACAGTTCTGTGACCTCACTTGTGCTGAGCTGCTGCTGCAATATTTTAGCGAAGCTTAGAATAAATTATCTGGAAACCAAATCGATAAATCCATAAAATGCTTTCCATCTACTGAGCCAAAGGATGTTATTTTGATAAAGAGAATTTTTAAGTGGACAAACTCTTTATGCTATCAGATGATGCTGCATGTTCATTTCAAACTCCTTTCCCAGGCCCTCGCCAACAATGCTTCACTCCTGTATTAAATTAATCCCTTCTCCCCCTAAAAGTCTATCAAGTACAGAGTAAAACTGGAGTGGGGAGAACACAGAGACACACACAAGAGTGCAATGTACCTCTGGGCCAAAGGCAGTGGGAGAAAGTTGAGAGCTGAGGTCATATCGAGCCCACAGTCCAACATGATGGTGGTAGATTTGAACTTGAGTACGTTGCATGGTAAAGTCGGATGCCCAGACAAGCAGTACTAAAAAAAATATCAGATGAAATATCCAGCATTAGGAAAAGATAATAGTACACTCAGAAGACAGGAAGGAGACTTGAAACTATCCTAGCATCCTTATCATGTTTAAATACCATTTTAATATTTAAAGATTATTAGATGATAATTCTTAACCCATTCCTTTGGATACATACAAAAATAATGTTTACTATTGTGCAGTATTTCTCAGCATCTACTGACTTTGGTTCACTCCTGTTTGAGAGGAGAGAAGCAACCTAGAACTAAGAAGAAATTTCCTGACAGAACAATTAATCAGTGGAACAACTTGACTCCAGAAGTTGTGAATGCACCAACACGGGAAGTTTTTAAGAAGAGATTGGATAACCATTTGTCTGAAGTGGTGTAGGGTTTCCTGCTTAGGCAGGGGGTTGGACTAGAAGACTTTGAATGTCTCTTCCAACTCTGTTATTCCTGTTCTGTTATTTGTCTGGTTTATGGCTATTTATGCCTACCAGAGTGTAATTAACATTTCCTAAATTAATATTCATCAAGCTGTGCTGTACTTCACTGAACAGCAACAGAGGCAACTGAAATGCAGATTGCACTCCGAGTACAATTGTATTTATGGCAGGAAAATAATGTGATGGTTTGCAATGAACATTTCACCATCCAGTTTCTGAATAGGAAGGGAACTCAGTCAGGGATCAGATGTTCAAGTAAAGAATGATCATTTGAAAAGATCCAGGATATATAGAAGCAGATTCGCCATCTGCTATTAGCAGAAGCAGTGAAATTTGAGATCTGTCGCCCCCAAAGTTGAGCAACTTCTATTGCTTAAACTTTCAGCTGGAGAAAAAGGTCAGGAAATAAGATCAAGAATCTTGATCTTTCATTGAATGTTTCTAATATCTGTGCACTCTTGTACTTGGAGACATGGACAAGAAAAAGGAAAGGGCACAGAGCCATTAAGAGCTATTGATAGATTTAGACATGGTACATTGACATTAAGGAGAAAACATTATCCTTCTTCTGAGATGAGGAGGAAGAATGCTCAAGTCTTTCAGACTTCCAGAAGCTCTCAGAGATTCCCATATCAACAACATATTCAATGGGCAGCACATGTGTGTATGCAGGTATGTGTGTATGTGTACATGTGAGAAAAAAAAACCCCCAATTATAAAGCTGAACGAAGTTAAGGTGGAAATGTACATGTTAGGAACCAAGCCAGTTTATAGGTTAAATGTTTCAGATGGAAGGTAGTACCCGAACAATAAACAATGAAAAAAAAAAACCTTTTATCCTTTTCTGATCTATTATGGCTTATGGAATTTTTGAACAATAAAAAACATTATCATCCCCATATTAAACAGATACACTAGGTATCATTTGGTTTCTGGACATGACTGATGGTGTAAAATATGATGTGTCTAGACTCATATGGCTTAAAGTCAATTACCATCTTCTTTTACAGTATTATGGTATAAGTTACAGATACAATTAACATCTATACTGTAGCTAACTCTGCTTTTTCTATAGAAAAAAACCCAACCCCTTTTGGTGTTTAGACTGCTGCACTTAGAGGTCGGCTTCTAACATCTTTCTACCAAGGTCTTTTAGTTTAGATATTGTTATGCTGGCAATATTTCAATGGTTTTAATCACTATATTGAATTTTAAATTGGATTTTAGATATTCATAAGCCACTAAGAACCACAAAATGGGAGCAGTCATATATTACATTTCAAATAAGTAATACACGGAAAGGCATAATATGTTTAAACTGCAGCCAGTAAAAGTGATGCAACATTTAGGCTGCAATCCTGGGCGTATTCAGGATTGGGAGCAAGTCCTATTTAAAGCAATGAAAAGTAAACTAGAATGAACAACCAGTATACATTTCTTGAATCAGTGCCTCCTTCATTTTTTCCCATCCTCCTTTCTCTATCCTTTTCTTGGTGTCTATACTGTTGCCAAGAAGCTTTTCAACATAAGAATTACAATAAATAAATACTATAAGTGAACAGCCTATTCTTGAGCAAAAGTGTAATATGCTAATCTCTTTAAAATGCAATGAATGTTAGGTGTTGGTCTCAATTTCCCTAAAACACAGGTGTCAAACTTGCAGTGGCACGTTGCCGTCATGTGATGTTTCACAACTTTTCCCCCCTTTCCAGAGCTGTGGTGGGCGTGGCCTGAACATAACACATCTGGCCTGTGGGCTGCCAGTTTGATACACCTGCTCTAAAAGAAGTTTTAATTCACTAAAAAGTAATAAAAATGATGCAATCAGGAAATATTTTGTTAAAAATGTTTTAAAGTACGACATTTTCCAAATAAATAAACCTCAAATGTTAACTTCTTTATTATCTGATCCGACACTTCAAAATTTCTATTAAATGAAAATAAAATAAATGATAAAATAAAATAAACAAAACAAATACAGCATGAGATGAAAGTAACCACCTAAAATTTTCTTCTCTTACCCCAGAAACCTTATATAAGAGATTTTCCTCACACTGATATCTTCAGATATCAGGCATCACCACTTGTCATGCCTGTTGGAATCTGATTGGGAGGGGGAGGCCGAGCAGCTGAGAGGGAGTGAGAGTGTGGCTCTGTTGGCTGTGGAAGAAACTGGGGAAGGGCAAAGGCTGGGCACAGCAGGAGAGGTAGAGCAAGGGAGAGGGAATTTGTAGGAAGACCCAGGCGCACCCCCTCTTCATCCTAGGGCATATGCAGGAAGGGAGGGAGAAGGGAGCAACATGAGTTGTGTGGTTTACGGGTGAGGAAAAGGACCTGATTCCCTTCATTAACTGCAGCTGGAAACGCAGTGTTTAAAAAGGGAAGCTGCTCATAGCAAAGTTGTTGGGAGTGAATTATCTGGTATCATTGAGGCTTATCTGGGTTCCTGGTGTCTTCCTCTGAATTCCCTCTCTCTTGCTCTACATCTCCCCTGCTCTGCCCAGCCGGCCTTCGCCCTTCCCCAGTTTCTTCCCCAGTCAACAAGCCACTTCCTGTCAGCTGCTCGCCCTCCCCTCCAAATCAGATTCCGACTGGGGCATGACACCACTGCATCCTTGAGACAACACATATTGGCTGGGGATATTAAGAATTCTAATCCAAGACATTTGCAGGGTACAAATTAGAGAAGGCTGTTTGTATTTCAAGGATGTGCTTTGTCTAGCTTTGAACATTATTTTACTATTACTAAAATGATAACTGTTTGATGCTTTTTAATATCAAATGAAAAATGAAGGGCATGTTATGCTAGGATAGTTTTCCCATAAGGCTTTCAGGGATTTGTAGTCTTATTTGCATGTTAGGCCTTTGCATTATTTATACAATGCAGGCAACAAAGGAGATGTCCACAATGACCTCAGCATCAGGTTTTGTTTAAAGTAAGAAAGTATACTTGATTTCAAAAATTTTCTAATATGCAATTAATAAAAAAAGCTTGTGAGATCAAAACCAGAAAGTCAGAGCCTTTGCAATCTTGCAGGCAAAGAAGCCAGTACAGTATAGAAGCTAAGTATAGACTTGAACCAGGGGCACCAAGTTTCAAATCTCCACTCAGCCATAGATCTCACTAGCTGACTTTGGACTGTCACTCTCTCTTAATTCAACCCATATCACTTGAGTTGTTTATGTAGTGTTCTCTCTTGCATGAGAATCTTAGGCACTTGGGAGTTTTCAAGAAAAAAAGTTATATAAAGTCAATAATAGTGACATTGGATATCCAACAGGTGAGAGCCAATGTAGCCGTATTAAATAGTGCACTTTTATATTGTATGGCAGTTTAAATTTGTGAACTGCAACTCTTACTGGGGAGATAGAAAGAGGCAGACACTCATGCAACTGTTGAATGCTGCATAACTTCTATAGAGCTTAGCATTTAATTCAATATGTCATAACATGAGGAATAATCAAAGAAAGATTTTTGCCTATCAGACATTTACCATTTATTTTTATTTCTATATCATTCTTTCTCCCAGAAATATCCAAAAAGTTTACATAGGTGGGTGGGGGCAGGAGTTGCAAATAAAACTAACGAAGCTAACAATAAAGACAATACATTATAGTTGGCTGAAAAAAAAAACTCCAACAACTGAGACTCATCAAATTAAAGTTGCCCTAACAAAATGGATCATGAGAAACTGCAAACCCTCCTTTCAGAGTTCCACTACAAAAGAGGAAAATTAGGTGGCCCTTCGTGTCCGTCCTCAAATCTCCTTCATCAAAACCCACCAATAGCGCACCCAACTCACCAGCTTCATTCTTTACCCGGCTCTATATACGGCGGACCATGCTTCTCTTTCCTGGTCTAAACCTCTTCCATTGCATCCTGGGCAATGTAGTCCATTACTGGAGCCCGCCCTCTTATTCACTCCGCCCACCGCAAAATGATGCCTCGAGCAGCCATATCTTCGCCGACCTGGAGAGCACGATGGGAATCGTAGTTTTTTCTCGCCCTGATCATCACTCTCCCGTTTATTGGTGTGGCAGTTCTAGCGCAGGTCTCTGGGAGTCGTAGTCCTAGACGGCCCACTTTATCTTCTTCCCCTTGGGAAGAAGGAACTACAAGTCCCAGGGTCTCACAGCGGCAGCAGGTGGGAGCTTGGATGTTGATATCAACATGGCGCTTGTCAGACAGACAAAGGCAGTCAGTCTGGTCTGATTGAGCCCAAAAGGGAGCAGGAAGAGAAGTGGGAGGGGTTTTTTTCTTTCCTTGGGGGGTTGAAGGGAAGCAGAGCTTGGGAGTCTGAAGTGATCCCCCCCTCTGGAGCTCCTCTCCATTTTATTTTGCAGTATCCCCTAAAAAAGAAATCTCTTTGCTTTTCCTATTTGGGAGCCACCCCCAACTTCTGCTTCTAAATGGTCAAGTGGAGAAAAAAGTAGCCAGAACCAAAACGTGAGTATCCTTTTGACGGCGAAGGGCACGATCAGGGCTGTTCGGGAGCGAAGGGCGATCGTGCAAAGGAAGCGGAGGAGGAGAAGAGGGTCTTCTTGTCTTTTTCCTTTTGTTTTGATCCGGGCTAGTGGTCTTTCTTTTTCTTTTTGTCCGTTTGGGACTGGAGGGATGAATAACAGTATTTCTTTTCGGGAACGCATCCCGAGTGACTTTGTGAGATCTTGAGAATTTTAAGAGTGGAGAGAGGACGAGGAAAAAAATATGTCCCCCCTCCCCATCTTCTTTTCTTTTTGCAGCTGAAGGAGGAGAGCCTGTTAAACGAGCTCTATTTTTATGTAGACGATCAGAAGTTTTGAGGGTACAGCGGCCAATTCTTTCCCCCTCTTTGATCAGTAGCGTTATCATCGATTATGTTGCCCCAGTTTAGGCTACTCTTTATGAACAGGCAGAGAGATAGGATGGAGGCATTTGCAACCTTTTTTAAGTAATGGTGGTTTTGATCTGTGATGGGTTGTTTTTTTGTGTGTGTGGCGGGGAGACCTTTACAAACAGTGATAATGGTTCTGGATTAGTTTTTATTGTTTGGGGGGGGGAGTAGGAAATTATAGTATCTCTGTGTGGTTTTATTTTGCTCCTTTTGGATTTTCCCAAGCTTATGGAAATCTTGAGCTACTGTTACAGCACCCGAGGTAACCTTGCAATGCATTTATCTGGGCAGGGTTACTCTCATAGGATACAATATTTTCCCCAACAAATCTCTTTTTGCATAGGTCAGGGTGATGATTTTCCAAGGCATGTAAAGAGGTCAAAGAGGGATACACTAGATTTGTAAGTCTCCACATTCCACGCAAGTGACATGGACAAGAAAGCCTGGATTGTATGATATGTGGGATGATGATGGGGTTCGCTTCCTACTTTACTGTTTAGATTTGCCTGGCTGTAAGAAATTATTGTCTGAGGTATTAAAGGAGGAAGGACAATGATTTGTAAAATGATCTTGGAGAGGAGGTTTTTTTTTGGGGGGGGGGTTAATTGGAATAGATACTAAAAGTGAAATAATTCTGAGCTAAATGAGAGATATTTGGCTTCCTTGTTAAGTTTTTGTGGAGAGCTGATTTCTAGTACTGAACGATGCACTTGATGTTCAGATTATTTAGGCATCTTTAGCCATAGCTTCATTAAGATTAAGTGCTTGCTTTTAAACTTTAATAATGTTGACTCCAGGACACTGAAATTAGTTGAAGGTTTCAGGTATAATTATGTGTGTAAAACACTAATTTTTATATACCTTGTTTAGTCAAAGAAGCATTTGTTCATGGGGTTCTTGACAGGGTTTTAAATGAGAAAATATTGACAATTTTAGTATGCAAAATATGTACAGGTTGGAAAAGGAGACCTCTGACTTCACAAAGTGAGAGGCTAGTGTAGAAGGAGTAGTCGCTGGAGACACTGGGGTGTGCCAGCTATTGCAGGATGAGGAAGGGATAATCTTCTTGCAAACAGAAAAGCATGACAAGTCAAATGTTGTCAGCTGTTGCTGCATTCAGCTCTTTGCAAGTGTGGAATATGATGTGGGAATATTGATTCAAATTGGAGAGTTTAATATTTAAGTTACTTGAGTTTCCCCATTAAATTAATGTGTGCTGATTCAAATCGGTTATGAGCATCATCAAAGGCTGTGTTATATACTTTCTCATTCTGTGTTTGGAGGCAGTTTTAATAGCTTAAGTTTCCTCTCCCTCCCAAAAAAAGTTTATGCAATTGTTTGAGCCTTTTGGAAACCATTTTTCCATCCAACACCAAATCTTAGAAAATTAATAGTTATGAGCTATATTTTGAAGCTTCTTTAAAGCATTATTGAAGAATTCTCTGCTTAAAGTACCATGTTTGGACTTCAGATGTTTGATTTTAAACCTCAGATGCTGTGGATTCATTGTGCAAGTTAATGTGAGCTGATGCAGCATGGTGCTTAAGAAATTATGCTGTGAAATGGGAAGTCCTCTAGTTCCCATTCTATCTTAGCTGTGGAATCATTAACAACACAGTCCTATTCAGCTGTATTCAAGTAATTCATATAGGATTACAGCATAAGTGGCTTCATGCAAACTACCTTTTCTCAGTCTCAGCATTTTGCATATGAAATATAGTGATAAATTGATATTGCTCTTTTTCAAGGTTATTCATAAAGCTTTATGCATGTGGAATGCTATAAATATTCAGAAGCTCTGTATGAGTACTAATTTATCATTGTTTTTTAGACTTTATGCGCAAGATGAAATTGAGAGCAGAGTCTTGCTACTGGTTCTCATCTCTATTGATAATCTAAATAAATAATATTTGTGAATCCTCTTATCTGCCTGAAGAGATTGAAAAGTATAGAGGAATGCAAGGCTATCTCAGAACTTTCCTCCCTCCCTCCCTTATAATAAAAGGAACATTTTGCAAAAGTGAAATAGAGCTCTATGTAAGAAAACCAAAGATTAATTAAGAGGAATGTACAATAATTGACTTGACACAATAGCTTAAGTAATATTGTGATCATGTTATATTGACTTAATGTGCATTTATCCTAATGGTTGTGACTTATTCCGTAAACCACAATAAAGTAAAACATGACTTAGTACAATTTACAAGTTTAGCCAGAGAATGTTATGAGCAAAGATTGTGCTTTAAATTGTCACAGAAGCAGTAAGAAACTAGACGGGTAGCATTTTTGGTGGTGCATGTGTGAAACTGATTTGACATAATTTTGCTATATCAATATGCAGACTGGCTGATAGTTAGCCTTAGCGCCTGCTGATTAACAGATCAAGAATTTTGTTGATTGATTGCTGTCTGAGGTCTTTTAACTAGTGATTTGAGATATTGAACAGGTTACATCTGCAGGCAGACCCTTTACTCAGTCATAGGGATATTATGTTGTCTTCATTGATCATTCATCCTTTCATGGAAAATAATGTTAATATCTGAAGTTATTTTCTTGAGCATGGAGTGGTACTTAAAACACAGGTCTTCTGAACTTATCTGAAATGTTTGACTAATGCTTTTGGAGAAAACATGGAATATATTTGAAATGAATATCTAACCTCCAATGACTAAAGTTGATATTTGCAAATTGTCATAGTACAAATCTCTTTGCATCTTCTGTTTTCTCCTGGAATAAAAATCTAGTTTCTTTGAAAGTTGTACATTTTGTCATAGTGAAGTGTGCTTCACTTTTCACAAAGCCAAATCAGCCAATAATCTTTAGACCAAAGTAAAATCTACAAATCAGACATATCGTAGTTAAGTAGTGGGGAATGCTTCCATTCCTTTGACCCGTTCGCGATTTTGAACATATAGTTACTACTCACAGTGAATTAACTTTGCGTTCTATAAGATGAAGTAGTAGTATACTTTGCAATCTCCTATATTTTGGATTGTCACTTCACATTTCTTTCTTTGCCATTTTCTTGGAAGATCTTTTTTTTAATACTCTCCTGTCTGATCTTGACCCCTTTGTGAAATGATGGGACAAAATACAGTATTTAATCCTGTATTATCTTTCCCTTTTCTGTCTTATTTTTTTCTTGCATTCTATTGCTATGTGATCATTTCAGGCCAAAAGTCCCATCATTCTTGTTTCTTCAAAATTCCATGTATTTATAACCTATGTATGAATAAATATGCACTAGTTAGAATACGGTGACTTGGTTGAAAAATGTACAAAGAATGCTGCTGGATCTGATGAAAGATCCAGCTAATGCAGCACCTTTTTTATTTCCAGTTTATCAAGTTATCTTCCAAAGTAATTAACTAGAGAAACAAGAAGTATAAATGGTTCTTCTGAAAGGCAACATAAATGCAAGGCTCACTAGTGCAGTGTGCCCTTTGCTGTAGAGCACCAAACATCCTTTTCCCTCAACATACCAATAGATATTAAAAAAATGGAGTAAGGAAGGATTAAAAGGAGCTGTTTAGGAAGAATATGGAACATGCAATATGGTGGGTTTTCAAGAAATCACGAGCGACAGTGCATTGATCAGGCATGTATTAGATATGAATATCTTGTGCATATGTACAGATGTCTACTTGAAGTCATTCTGTGTGGATTAATATATTATGTGGAAAATCAATCTCCTAATATTCTTATGTATAATTGAATTGAACAAATAAAAATGAATACATTGACTCTGTGTGTGCTTTATTTTGCTACAAGGTCCACTACAGAGAATGGTACTTGCTCCATAGTAAATATGTCTAGGATTGTGACCATACAATAACATGACCTTTCGCAAGCTATAAAAAAAAGCTGCAGATTAATTACTCTTTTAGCACCTTTTAAACCTTGTTTGTTTTGCACTTTCCAGCAGAAAGGTGGACTACCCCATCTACTACCTTTGATGCTTGCTTGTGGGAGATTTTAATCCATGTTATATGACGGTGTGTATTGAACTAGATGATATCACTTCAGGTTAATTAGCAGAGAATGTAAGGTTATGCTTTTTGTGGATGCAGCATTGGATCATGTGTTTCTGGACATTTTTTTAAATAGCTGCATTGCAAAAGAGGCTATTTAAAAAGTGGCGCATCCTGCACAAATTGGAGGAAGGAAGGAAGAACATTTATTTTATTTTGTAAATGTCCCACTTCTCTTTGGAAAGAAATCTGTAAGAAAGGTTCCGGAGGATCTTTTACTGTGCATGGAAGATGTGGCATAAAATTCAAGTTGCTTTTAAAAAACAGCACTTGTGAAAAAAGAGGGAGAGAAAGTGCTGGCTCATAGGCTCATATCCCTGCGAAGGGCTTGGCTCAGTGTTCTGAATGCTGTTTGCCTCCTATGATGGTGAAACCATCAGATGCTTTTTTCCTTCTCATAAAAGCTGAGAGTGAGCAGTTTTATCTTGGGGGTGTTATAGTCAAGGATTTTGATTCCATCTCATTTAGCCATAGAATTTATTCATTGTTCACATACTAATATTAAACAGTGGTGAATGGAAGAGGCAGAATGCTGTGCTACA